TGAGTGTGAGTGTGAGTGAGTGTGAGGAAGGAGGAGGAGGAGAAGGCGGGACAGCCCCAAAAGTAAGAACCCCACGCAAAGATGTGGGGAAAGATCACCACGCGGAGATGTCAAGATCTCTGTCTCACCTCGCCATGTTTCGCTTTCCTCCACGAAATCCTCGAACCGAGATGTCTCCCTGATGCTTTGCACGGTTTTTTTGCAATCAAAGGTAGCTCAATAAATTCGTCATGGTGGCATTGGCTGCGCGCTTACCGGGAGCAAACCTTGGTGCCCACCGTCTTCCCCTACATGTCGGCAATGAAGGCCTCGAGTGCCGTTTTCACGTGTTCATCCGGGTATCATGCGACTTTATGCAACCATTGAACTGATCCTGGTTGATCATCGTGACTGGCAGTGACTGGTACTTGCTTGAGGTTGAGGCCCTGTCTGACATTGACCTTGCATACCTTGTAACTGGCCACAACATTTTGTGGAGAGTAGCCGCCGAGTTCAATCAAGTACTTTTTCAACTTGCCGACGACCTTCAATCGGCACCTTTCAGGCCGTGAACGATTTTCTGAAGCCCATAGTTTGGCATCTTGAAATTTTGTGTACTGTTTCTGCGAACGAATGAACTTCATGGCAAGAACAGGTGATTGAAATTGCACAAGTCCCAACGAAAATTCGCTATCGGCCATGCGAACATCTTGAAACCCGTCCACGTGGACCAACAACTCCCGTAACAACAAATCTGCGTTCTCCACCTCTTTTTCCCCAAAGCCCCCAACCACAACAACGGACTTGCCAACCTCATCCATAGATGTTTGAAGATAGTGTGACGTGGAACTGTTTTGCTCAAGTTTGCGCACGCGGTCTTCAAGCTGCCTCCTTGCTTCGGATTCAACATCCACTTTTGCCTTTAGTTGAGCAAAAGTCATATCCATCTTCAGGGAAAGACGCGTTCCCACTTCACCCACCCTATTTTGCGATTCCTCCAGCATCATCATCCTCAAAGCTTGTGTCGTTGCAGGGCTCATTTCGACTTTGTTGAGTCCTGGCTTGCTTGCTTCCACTGCCAATTCGTGTGACGGCTGCACGCCTTGTGATGTTGCCGCATTATTCGTCCGACCAGAAGCCTCACGATCAGGAGTGCCTTCTTGAGCCACCCTATTCCCTGGCGCGCTCAAGGTGGGAGCCTTGTCCCCATCATCGTCGGTCATGTTCTCTTTTTTTGAAAACAGTGGTCAAATCTTGCCATTGAGCACCATACGACACTGCCTCACCCACTGATTCACAAACATTGCTCCTGCTGCTGCGGCCGCGTACGGCGTACACCCATCCTTCTCCGTGCGCAAAGACATGTGCATGTGTCTGCACGCGGCACATAGACATGCAGCTGCATTGTGTGGGCAGGTGTCCGTGGTGACGCAGGTGGGGGCCTGGTACCGCATCTGCAGTGCCAGGAAGGAGGATTACTGCCCAAGGAAGGAGCTCCTTGCAATGGACGCGGATCTTGCCATCCAACTCTTCAAGGACGGGACGTGATTTATTGTTTTATGAATATGAAATATGATATAGGTCATGGATTACCTATTCTCGGTTTGAATTTCTCGTCATTAGAGACTTTTCGACCTGTTCTGAAGATGTCTTGGCGGCCCCTTTCCGATCATGGCCTTGAACTGGAAAGCACAACTAAATCATGCTGGGCTGCATCGAGCTTTTGTCTCCGACAACAGACACAGCACACTGATGACAGGATGAGATGGAGCCGGTGCTCGTACAGATGGATAGTTTCTGCAAAGGTGGCGGACGAGCTGCCACACTTGGCTGCAACCTGCAGAGACTTATCTGCTATGTCAACAAACGGTTCTCAGCAAACCCATTCTTTGCAATGACTTGGGAATTGCATGCGCCAGCGTCTACCTGACACGGGCGAAGGACCATTTCATGGCCTCCAGACGACAGCCATCATACCCAGGTCGATCTCTGTTAGCATGATTGGAGGGAATTGAACAGTGCAGGACAGTGTGGGGTCATTTTTTCGGAACATGCTGGAGACTCCTGCTTGAAAAGCTGAAGTGAAAGCCGTGAGGCGGATTACAGCTGAGTGACAGCTTCTATCTTTTGTCAATCCCAATCCGCAGGCTATGAATGCCTACATCGAGCAGGCCATGGCCGCCAGACAATCTTCATCCTTCCGAGTCATCGACTTCTTCCGACTTGGTGGTTCCATGCCAGAGGAGGAAAGGTCAAAAGCCTTGCTCTGGGGGCACTTCGTGTGTGCGTGTCTGTGCGTTTTTTCCAGGTGGTCCAAGGCCACGGCTCGCAGATGTTGAATCTTTGGGTACCTTGGCAGATGCAGTACACTCAGAGACCGCACAGCTCTGCAGCAGCCCTAGAGTTTGCACTACTGGTGCGCCTGTGCTGGCGCCTGTGCTGGCGCCTG